AAAAATAGCCCAGCTTGCGAGTCCAGGTTGCTGTGTCTGTCCGTGCCAGGCCTTGGCATGCTCTGACTGGACCGGGATCCTTCTGCCTTCGTGGGGAGGAACCGCTGAGGCCCAGCACCATGGCAGGGGGCTTTGTGTGTCCCCACTGCAGCCCACCTAAGTCACCTCCTGGACCCTCCCTCCCCCAGATGAGAGCGTCTTGAAGAAAGACAATTTCTAGAGGCGCAGCTGACCTTGGGTAGGTGAAGAGGTGCCCGTGTCGCTCAAGCCAAGGCCCTGGGGAGAAACCGGGGCTAGGCCTGCTCCTCCCAGCAGGCCCTGAGCAGGGCCAGGGTCTCAGGAGGCTCAGACTTGACCCAAAATGGCCTGTGCTGGCCTCACTCCCAGCTTGAAAGCGACACGGACAGCTCCAGGCCTGAGAGCCTGGTGCTCGGCTCCCAAGGGCTGGCCTGCCCCAGCCCCCGTTCTGTGTGCCCTGTGGACCAAGCCAGAAGCCGGGCCACCCTGGCTCTCCCTTCCACATGGCTTGTGCCCACCAGTGGGAGCAGCACCTCAAAACCCTGGTCTGTCTCCCGAGGCCTGGAAGGGCAGCCTCTCCTGCCCTGGCCCCCTTCTGCCTGGGCCTTCCAAGGCTGTGTTGGTGCAGGTAATTAAAGGGTTTTAATTAAATTAGGATCCCATCTGGCTGGGATCATTCAGCCCCTTAACGAGGATTGTGTGTCACCAACATCAGACTGCGGATGGGGACTGAGACACGTGAGGCTGAATTTGGGGACTGGAGGCCCCTCCGACTAGGATAGAGGATCCTTCTGAGCCCCTCCTAGGGTTCCCGGAATCAAGCAGCTATTGCACCTCCAAAACTGGAGGCCTTGGAGGGGAGGAGAAGGACCAAGCTTCCCAAGTCTATCGTGGCCTCGGAGTCTAAGCCTCCCTGGTGTGGGGTGACTCTGTGGGCATCATGCGGTGACTCTGTGGGCATCATCTCAGCCCCGTAGAAGAGGACACAGGGCCACTCAAGAAAGAGCTCCAACTGGAGGCCCAGGCCCAGGACACAGGCGCTTAAATAAAGCTTCTTCAGCTCACCACTCTGCTGCTTGTAGTCTAAAATGGCAGCAGACAGGGCAGAGGATGGAATAAAGGAGCAAAGGGTTCTAAGCTGGGTGCAGTGATGCACCCATTAATCCCAGTGACTTGAGAGGCTGAGGCAGGAAGATCTCAAATTCAAGCCCAGCTTGGGCAACTTAGCAAGACTCGATTTCAAAACGAAAAATAGAAAGGACTGGGGATGTAGCTCATTGCTAGAGCATCTCTGGTCTCACCACTAGTATTGCAAAAAAAAATAAAATAAAATAATTTTAGACCCTCCTATATCATCACTTGGCTTAAATGTCATTGACCCGATCTTAGGCACCTGGCTACACATAGGTGAAGGGAGGCAGAGAAATGTATACTAATCCGGGCAGCTGTGTGGCCAGCTAACAGCTGAGGACCCCATCATAAAGGAGAAAGGGGAAGCAGATTACGAGGGGCAATTGCCGCCTCTGCCACGTGCATCACAGGGCAAAACCAGGACAGGAGCCCAGGACTCCTCCTTCCAGCCTGCGCCCTTTCACGGTCCACATCAGTGCAAGGCTGAAGTTCAGTGAACCTGTCTCCAAAAGAGAGGAGGAAGTAGTATTTTTGTCTTGTTTTTTTGAGGCAGTCTGGCTCTGCAGTTCAGGCTGGCATTGAACTCACTATGTAGTCCAGGCTGGCCTCAAACTCATGAGATCCTTTTGCCTCAGCCTCCTGAATGCTGGGGTGACAGGCGTGCACCACCAGGAGAAGTAGCATTTGATGAACGACCCATTTAATTTTTCCAACACTCCCAGGTAGGTAGAACAACAGTTTTTCATGTAAGGAGGCTCTGGGAGATTGTGTCATTTGTCCAAGGCCACTCAGCTAGTAAATGACAAGGCCTGGGTGGGGACTCAAGCAGAGCTTCCCCCACACCCAACCCCTCTACTGGGCATTAAACCCAGGCCTTCTGGGCTGCATCCCCCAGCATCTTTTTTTTTTTTTTTTTTTGGTACAGGGATCGAACTCAAGTCCTTGCGCTTTCGAGGCAGGTGGTGGAACCACTTAGCTAAAACCCCGGCCCCACCCAGCATCCTTTTTATTTTGAGACAGGGTCTCATTGAGTTGCTAAATTGGCCAGGCTGAGTTTAAACTTGCAATTCTCCTGCCTCAGCCTCCCAGAGTGCTGGGATCACAGGCAGGCACCACCACACCCAGTTCCACATTGACATGTCATTGGTTCAAGAGGAGCTGGCTTGTCCAGTGGGGCCACCTAGGGAGGTGCCCTGGATTAGGTATCCTCGGCCTGACTTTATCATCAGCTCATCCCTGAGCCGCGGCCAACAGGAAGCGAGGTCCCTGTAGAGCCAGCTCCCCACCCCCAGCCAGCAAGCGCCAGGTCTCCCTTGGCATTTGTGGTATCAGCTGCCACTCCAGGACTTTGGCATCATCGCAGGTGCCGTCTGCACCCTACCTTTCCCCTGACCGTGGGGCTGATGGTGCCTCTCATCACCGCTCCTCTGAGCCCGTTCCCCCAGCAGTGCCACAGGACTGTCTTCAGAAGTCACTTTTCTCTCCCACTCCCAGCCATCATGTTGGATGGCTTCCCACAGAGCAACTGGCTCACTGTGTCTCCCTTCCGGTCCCTGATCACCCTGCGACCTTCAGCTGCCCCCAAGTCCTCTCTCCCATCTTCCCTACCCACCCACCCTGTGCAGCTCTGAGCAATGGACTCGCTGCAGGAGTCTGCCGCACCCAAGGTCATGGGCAATCCTGCCAAGGATGGGGAAAGGGGTGACTCAGTTCCCGCCTGCTCATCTTGGGAAGGAGATGGGGGGAGGAAGGACCGGCCTCTGGAGTGCAGAGGGAGGCTCAGTGCCAGCTCTGCTGCCAGCTGACCTGACACACATTCCCTCTCAGACGAGGGATGATCTGCCCCTGGAGACCAAGGTCGATGAGGCCAGGCAGTGTGCACAGAGCTTGGGGACAGGCGGCCTTCAGCTGTCCTGGGCTTAGCAAAGAGCAAGGCTTCCTCTTCTATCCATGGGACCGTCCTTGGCCTCAGGGAGGCTCCTGTCTGATGAGGGAGGCGCAGCCTCTGCCCCAGGGCCCCCAGCAATTTCCCACTCTTAACAGAGAAGGCTCCCGGCAGCCTGGGTGTCAGCTGCAAGGCCCCTGCCTGGTGCCAGGGCACACTGAGATTTCAGACTGCCCTGGAGTGTGGTGAAGGGAGGGCAAAGAGTTGGGGCAAGGGTGGGACCCCAACCTTCTCTTGTGAAGAGACGGGGTACTTTGAGCGGGTCTGCTCCGAGGGGAGGGCTGGGATGGAAGGGGCAGAGGTTGGAGCTCTTGGGGTTCAAGTTCCAAGGGGTACATGGAGATGCTCGAGGTGCAGGGGTGGGCATCTTCTCACCCAGAGGAAGTCGTGAGGACCAAGGGGCTCAGAAAGTAGCTGGGAAGAGTCACAGGGACCCAGCAGGGCATTCCAGAGAAGGCAGATTTGGGAGGAAATCTGTTAGCAGAATCTGAGCTGAGAACAGCAGCCCAGTTCCCGGGGAAAGCAGAGAAGGAGGAATGAGGCGCAGAGTGTGCACGAGGGCGAGATGAAGTTATTAAAATGAACCCACCCCTGTGCGGGCAGAGCTGTGTGCCAGGAAGGCCGGGCCCTCCAGCTGTCGGCAGCATCTGGCTCTCCGTGGGAGAGGAGGAGGAGGAGGGGTCCCAGTACCCCAGGTCCACAGGCAAGGGGGCCTGGCCAGCCCAGTGCTCCCTCCTCTCTCTCCTCCCCCAGATGCCACAGGTTGGGGAACTGCGCCCAGATCCTGTTGGGGTGTCCACAGGGCCAGGGTCCCTCCAGACCCCTGCAGTCCCATGCCTTCCACCACAGGGCCAGACCCCGGGTCCCCTGGGCAGGGGAGAGGTGTGGAGGGCCGGTGTGGCTCCAGTCTGCTCGGGAGAAGTGGCCCAGGAAGCGGAGTGCAAGGGGATGCTGAAGTGGAGGCAGGAGCTCGAGGTGCCCTTCCTGGGTCACTTTACCCCAGGGTGGGGTGGGGGCTGCAGGGAAGCAGCTCCCAAATCCCTCAGCTCCGCGCGGTGTGGCCACGGGGGTGGGGATCGCCCTGGCTCAGTGCAGCAGCCGGGCACAGGCGGAGGTGGCATCTAACCTGCATGCTAGGACTTTCCCACTGTGGCAGCGCTGCTCAGAGACCCAAGAGAGCAGACCCGGAGAGGCTACCAGGGCACTGGGGGGAGGACTCCAGCCTTCCTGTCCCCGGGCAAGGATGCTCGCTCGGCTGTCCATGCTGGGGCCTCCTGGCAACCAGAGAAAGCAGTGGCTGCTTTTAGGGCCCCTCGTCCCTGGAACACCCCAGCCTGTTTTCTCACTAGCGTGTTGGGCCTGGGAAAGGACCCCACCCCAGGACAAGGACTCGGGAATTAACCGGACAAGTGCTCGGAGGACTCACCTCACCCTACAGAGCCAGAGCCAGAGCCAGAAAGGAGCTTGGGGGTCATGGGTGACTTTCGGGGTACCTGGACAGCTGCAGCAGCTTCTAGCTGGGCGCTGACTACAGTCACAAGTCCTTAGGCCACACCCAGACCTGTACGAACAGGGAGGAGTGGAAATCGGTGTGATTGCGATGCTCACTTCTTCTGAGAACCCACGCTCTAGGTAAGGTCATCGAGGACACACAGAAAAGCAATGGCAGGGCTAAGACAGCCCTGGACATCCACCCCTACCCCTGAGGGGCCTCAAGATGGCCATTGAGGGAGAACAAGCAGGACCCTGCTCTGGCCAATCACCCAGAAAGGGCCTGGAGAAGGCAGCAGCGAAATCTTGCTGAGCACCAGGCTCTGGTCCCCAGCAATGTCCGGCTGCCTTCTGAGAAACACTGGCAGGACCAGGGGCCCTGGGCCCTCTCCCATGGACAACTCAGAAGGCCGAGGCCTGGGGAAAGCTTTATTCCCTGCTCCAAGGACAAGACTGCACACAGAAGTCTACGGTCAGGTGATTTCACAAGACTTCCCGCCCCCCACCCCCCAGACAGACACGAGGGACGACCCGGGTCCTCAGGGCCAGCCTCCACCCACACCGCTGGCCGCCCCAAGGGTGGGGAGGGAGGGCCCCGCCTGACAGGCAGGGCCACTATGAATGGACCACTCTCAGCAGGGGGTGTGGTGGTGGAGGGACACATGACACGGGTGGGCACCCACCAGTGGCCTTGGTGCCAGGAGGACCAGCATCGTCCTAAGGACCTAAGGACAGGTATGCTAGCACAGAGGGTATAGAGTGCTGGCAGGAGGAAAGGGGTGGCCTGGCTGGAGACGATGGACTCTATGCCACAACAAAGACCTCAAGGGTCACCACTTCAGCCTCACACCGGGCTGGGGCAGGGAAGGGGCTTGGAGCTGCCTGCTGCGGTCTCCCGCGATGCACTGTTTCAGCCCTGCACCCTAAGCTGGCTCCTGAAAACCCCTCTGCCACTGCTGTCCTCGCTCAGGAGGACAGGGAGGGACCCAAGGACTTAGGGTCTCCTCTGTGACTTGACCTGGGGCCCCCATGATCTCCCCGACCAGAGGCCTGGGAGCCAGCATCAGCCTGCGGCTTGGTGGGAAAGCCAGGCCCCGAAAGGCTGCGGGATCGCCGTCCACCCCCAGGGCTCCCACCTTCTAGTGGCTGAGGCCAGCCTGGGACAATGGCCAGCGGCAGGCCCCTGAGATGGCCCCGCCCACATCTCCTAGACTCCTCCCCCTCCCCGCCCTGTGTCCAGGCAGATGGCATCTGGCCCGGGCAGGCCCATCCTTCCAGCCCTAGCCTGGCCTCTGAGGCCTGCCCAGGGTCAGCCAGAGGGGTAGTAGGGGGTGTCGCTGTGGTAGCTGTAATCTGGGCACACCTTCTGGACCAGCCGATAGTCCGTGCTGTAGAAGGCGATGTACACGCACACGACCTTGAAGGGCTGGGAGCAGCTCCAGGCGGCTGAGCTCTGAGAATGGTCTCGGGAGCAGGTCTTGGCTGGGTCATGGGTGCAGAGCGAGGTCCGGCGGCCCCGTTCCACCTTCTCCCACTCCATGCGGCAGTTGAAAATTTTGGAGGCCTTGGCTTCGATGAAGATCTGCTGTTCCTGGTGGAACTCGACCGCTTTGCTGGGGGGCACGAGGCTGATAGAGATGTTGCCCTGGCCCGTAGCGTTGTGGCGGAAGTGGACGCTGAAGGTCCCGTTGCCGTGGTCCACAATCTTCCCTGTGACCAGCAGGTTCAGGGCCACCGTCTTGATGTTGGAGTAGAAGTCGCCCCAGCCAAATATTTTCTTCACCTTGGCAGAGGGTGGGGGGCTATGGTTTGGGCGGTTGGGGGGCTGCCCAAGGACACCCCAAGCTTCGGAACCAGGTGGAGCCAGCAGCCCTAGGAGAGTGGAGTTGGCCAGGGGGCGGGACTTCAGTGAGATGTGGCCCCGCTTCCGAGGGACCCGGGGCCGGGGCTGGCTCTCGTGGTCATCACGCTCAGGGTCCTCGGAGCCGTGGGGACCGTCATCCTGACCACAGATGACCTACAGGGGGCGTTGGGAAGAGTGAGCGTCCTGTGTCCAGAGGACCTGGGGGACCACTCCCCACCACCAGAGGTGACCACCGGAGTCACTTCTGTCCCTGTCCCTTCCATGCTGACTCGGGGCTGAGGAACTTCATGTTGTATACTCACTCTGGGGTCAGGGCTACATGCTGGCTTGTGTCGTGGTCCCTTGTGTCTCATGTCCCTATACCTGGGTCACTGCCCCCCCCATCCTCTCCTTACTATCCTGCCTCTGGCCAGGATTCCAAATCTTGAAGGATGTTCAGGAACTTTCTCCAGCAGACACTGGCACCAGAGACGTGTGGCCCCTACCTCCTGGGCAGTCCCCAGTGTGACAGGGAAGGCTCAACTGCTGCTCACAGCGCAGCCCCGGCTGATGGCAGAGCCCATGTGACAGCAGGGGCTGGGTCCCTCGCTTGGCGAAATACCAGGCTGACTGGGGAGGCACAGTCTCTGCCTCTGAAGAACCCCAAGTCACCAAGGGGACTGACTGGAGCTCCCTGTTGGCAGCGGGACTTCCTGGCGTGTCTCCTCATGAGACTATTCCTAATCCCTTGAATAACTTCTACGGTAGATGCAAAGGAAGTCCATGAGACAAGAGCACGGGCCCAGCCTAACACTGCAACAAGTACAAACACAGTGTAGGCTTGGGCAGGAGGGCTGGGGGGGTGGGGAAAGAGTGGCACACCCAGGGTGAGGAAAGCAGACGCTTCTTTGGGGGACACTGGTGGATGGTGACATGTCAAGATGTCATCTGCATTTTGAGGCAGGAGTTCTATGATTCCCTTTCTCAGGTGAGGACACCACGGCTCAGAGGTTATGTTACACAAGGCTAAGGTCACTGGGTTGGCCCTTCTACTACACCACACACTGCCAGGCTCACAGTGACGGCCACACCTTGGGGAGGACTTCCGGAGGAGTGGCAGTGGTGGAGACAGCCAACAGGGCTGCCCGGAGGGCCCAGGCAGTGCTGCCGGGCGTGGGGAGGGGAGGTCACTGGGTGTCCTTGCCTGGGTGTCTCTGCCACCGGCTCCCCGGTCAGCTGGCAGCACGGGTACAGTGGTGACGCTGGGAATAGGAGGAAGCTGCCTGAGCCGTGGGGCAGGAGAGACCCAGAGGGGCCTGGGGTCTTCATGCCCTGGCGGTGCCTAGAGCTGGGTGCTATGGCCAATTCACCTCTGTCCCAGGGTCAAGACTGGCCCTCCCCCGGGGGGTACAGGGAGGGCAGCTGCCGGGACTGGGTTCAGGGCTGCTCACCTGTGAGGACTGGGCCCTGGGGGACACAGCTAAAGGGAAGGGGACTGAGGAGAGGGCCACAGGCAAGGACGGGTCAGGGAAGGGGCTTCCTACAGTGGCCTGGAGGTGCTGGCAGAGGAGATCATTGTCTAGAGGGAAGGAAGCTTCTCTCGGACAGGATTGGGGCGGGGGCGCGGCATCGCAGGGGAGTTGGGGCCGGGGTCCCCCTTGTCCTGGGCGCTCGGCTGAGCGGCCGCGAGCGCCCCGGGCGGGAGCCGCCTGCCCAGGTCCTGTGGGGCTCGGGCCGCGCGCAGCCGGGAGAGGAGAGGAAAACAACAGGCGGGGAGGGCGGGCGGGAGCGGGGACGCGGGCGGCGGGCGGCGGGCGGCGGGCGGCGGGGACGCGGGGTCGTCCCTCGCTTGCACCGGCTCCGCGCGCCCAGGGCTCTCCAGACCCAGGGGCCCGGGGGGCTGCGCCTGAGCGTCCCCCGAGCTAGCCGGTCCCCAGCTCCACACCCCCTCCGCCCCCATTCGTGCATCCCGGGTGCAGGGTCCCGGAGCCCTGGGCGACCCGGCTTGGGGGCCTTTTTCCCAGCGCGGATCTCATCTCCCGCCACCCGCCGCGGAGTGGGTGGGCCGGCCCGGCGCCCTCTCCCCGCCCCTATTAACCCTTCCTGTCCGGCCTCCGGCCCGGACCCGCCCTCTCCCCCAGCCTGCGGTCGCCCCCTCCGAGCCCGGGCTGCCGGGGGCAGGAGAAAGTTTCCGGGCGCCGAAGCTTCAAGCGCTCCCCGATCCCGCGGGCCCCCGCGCGCGGCTCCCCGCGGACCACTCACCAGGTAGAGGCTGCCTTGCACCAGGAACACGAAGCAGCAGCGAGTCAGTTGCATCCTCCTCCTCGCTCACGTCCCCTTCCTCGCTGTCCCCGGCGGGGTCCCAGGCCGCGTGCTCCCTCTCTGGCCCCTCAGGCGCGCCGTCCCATGCTCGGTCCCCGGCGCCTCGCGGCCCTCGGCTCAGCCTGTCGCCCAGGACCGACCCCGCCCCCTTCGGTCCACCTGTGCCGCCGCCGCCCCCTCCCCAGCCCAGCTGCGCGCCGCGCGGCCCCCGCTCGGGTCCCAGGTGCGCGCCTCGAGGGGCTCCAGCCGCGCGGGGCCCCGCCGCTCCCGCTGCTGCCCGGCGCCCCTCTCTGCTCCCGCGGCTCCGAGCTCGCCCAGATGTGCGGGACCTGCGCGCGCGCCCGGCCCCGTGCGAATTCCCCAGCCCAGACGGCCCCTCCCGCCCCGTCGCGGCGCGCCCCCTGGCGGACGCCCCGGCCGCGCCGCGCCCCGCCGGACTGAGCGCTCCCGGCGCCGGGCGGCTCCGCTTCCTCGTCCCTCCCACTGGCGGCAGCAGCGCCAGCAGGTACGGTGAGCCCAGTCGGTACCTCCGGAGTTAACTCCTCCCCTGCCGGCCCGCAGCCGGGGGACCTGGGCCCTGGCTCCCCAGTGGAGAGGGCGGAGTGACCGCGATGGGGGTCGCCAGGGGACGGGGCCCCCGGGCTTCCAGCTCTCCGGCAGGAGCCTGTTTGCCCATAGCTGACATCCATCGGGGATCTCAGGCCCTACCCCCCAACCCAGGAGTCCTGGAATTTGGAGAGATAATTCTTTTCCAAGCCCATTCTGGGAGCCGAAGGGCGTCTTCCTCACTGCAGCCGATGACAGCTGAGAGACCTGCTCTGCCTGCATCCCCTGTTGTCACGCCCTTCCTTTCCTCCTCTCCTCTGCTGGAGGGACTGCGATGACCCCTGAGCTCCGTCCAGTCACTGAGAAGCCCTGGGCGGGGGTCCTGTGCGGCCAGCAGGTGCCAGGCTGGATTCAGGGGCAGGGGCGAGATGAAAAGTTGCGGAGAGGGGTGCGCGAGGCCTCCCCAGACGCTGCCCCTCCTTTCTGCGAACTCACCCTCCCCTGGCACAGAGGGTCACGGGCTCAGGGGCTCCCTCCCCAGTGGGTCCCAGGTTGTCTGTGGTCTCTGCCATCCTCCAGAACAAGAAGGGAACTCGAGACCCCGGTTCCCAGAGGTGGGTGCCCACCCTCGGGGCTCCCGGCCTCCTTCCTGGCCTTCAAGGCCTCTGCGGTCTTTAAAAGAGAAAAGGTCACGTCCTAGCACCCTTCGGAGGACTTGGGAGGAGAAGCACCAGGCATTTGCAGTCGCCCCGCCCCGGGGGGGGCACAGTGGGCAGTGCCCCAGGCCCTCTGAGGTCCACTTGGTGCGTGGCTGCAGCCCCCAGCACGCGCCTGGCTGCCTCCCCCACCATCTGCCAGGCAGGCGCGCGGGGAATGCAGATGAATCTCAGTATCAGCCTGGGCCAAGTGCGAGGAGGGAGACAGGCTGTGCTCCAGGCAGCGTCTCGGGTCCCTCACCCCTCCCTGGCCCCCCAGACCCCCTGAGGACACAGCAGCTCTCCCCATGGATGGTGGTGAGGCACCAAGTGTGTCCCGCCAGAGACCCCCAAAGCCAGGCGAGGGAGGAGCAGGTAAATGAGTATCTGGCCTCAGCCTCCAGTCCGGCTGGGAGGAAGGAGCTGCCGGCCGAGTGTGGGCAGCTGGTTCCGGTGCTCACAGGCAGGGGCGGCTCTGCCCACTCCTTGTCCGTCCGCGAGGCCCTTGTTGCCCAAAGAGCGGCATGGCCCAGCAGAGCTCAGCTCTCAGCCCAGACAGTCCCCGGTCTGCTCGGGTCCTGGCCCTGCTGTGTGACCTTGGGTAGGTTACTCCAGTTCTCTGATGCCAGTTTCCTGATGTGTCACTGCAAGAAGTAAATGAGACGAAATGTACAAGCAGAGGGCAGCCGCTAGGGCTGGCGGGCAGCCGTAGGAGGGCCGCGGTGGAAGTTCTCACTTTGCCACCTCCCACATGTTGGCTCCAGCTGCCCCTCCTGCCAGGCTGGCCCTCGCTCCCTCTTGGTCATCCTGGCTCTTACTTCCTTCAAGTTTTGGCTCCGCATTCATCCATCAACCACTGGCCGAGGCTGTCCTCGGTGCCAGGCACCCAGCCAGGGCCTGGAAACAGATGAATGGGACACCGACCCTGCCCTCCAGGATCTCAGCGCTAGTGCAGAGCAGACGTGGGGATCGATAGTTATAGCTGGCGGGTGGGGGGGCTCGCAGATCCCCAGGCCAGGCGCTGGACGCGGGCAGGAGGGGTGGGAAGGGCAGAGCCGGCTTCCCGGGGAGCTGATGTGCAGGGGAGGGGCCAGCCAGGCATGGCTACTCTGCAGGGTACTGCATGGGCACAGGTCTAGAGCCAGGAACTGGGCACAGCTTGCTGTTCCTGGAGCCCAGGGGAGGAGGGGGGCAGGGACCCGAAATGGACGGACTCCTGGGTCAGGCAAGGGCTTGTCTATGGGCAACCTCTGAAAGGTGATTTTGTTTGGGGTTCTTTCTTTTTTTTCAGTACCGGGGATTGAACTCAGGACCTTGTACTTGTGAGGCAGGTGCAAAGCCACTGAGCTAAATCCCCCGCACCTTGTTTGGGGTTTTTTTGAGACAGGCTCTCACTAAGTAGTTCAGGCTGGCCTTGAACTCACAAGGATCCTCCTGCCTCAGCCTCTTGATTGCTGGGATTACAGGTGTGTGCCACTATACCCGGCTGGGAACCTTTGAAAGATTTTAAGGGGACTGGTGATTATAGTCAGATTTGCCTTTAGAAAGCTTTTGGAGCCAGGGATGGTGGCTCATGCCTGTAATCCCAGCACTTGGGAGGCTGAGGCAGGAGGATCCCTGTGAGTTGTCAGCCTGAACTAAACACCAAGACCCTGTCTCAACAAGAGCAACAACAAGCTTTTGGAAAATTTTATAGGAAAAGGGAGTCCAGAGGGAGCGAGAAAGGGAGGGAACCCACTAGGACATCAGTAGTGGGGAGACCCCCTGGGGTGTGGAGGAGGCGTAAGGGCCAGAACGCTGCTGTTAATGAGAGGCAGGGGCAGGAAGGGGCCTGGGTGGGCAGCGGCCTGCGGGGTCCGCAGGGCACCGCCGGTGGGGGCGGGGCGTTGGGGAGGGGGCGGGGCCAGCCCGTCTTCGTCTGGGTGCCGTTTCTCCCTGAGGCAGGACCCTGCGGGCACCCTGGGCACGCCAGCTCCTGGGCGTGGGCAGCACCAGGGAAACCCAGAAGATCCCGGGGGCATAGGCCCTAGGGTGCAGGCGGAAGTGGCCTCCGGACGGCGCCGCAAAGCCAGGGCGCAGGCAGGGTCAGAAAGGGGGGACCGGAGCCACGCACCAGGGACAGAGGCCTGGCGAGGGAGGGGCACAGCCGAGGCCCTGGGTTTGGCTGAGATTCATCCAGACGCCGGATGAATCACGTCATCCCAGCCGTGGTCCCTCCAGCTGCTGCCAGGGCGGGAGACGGACCACAGCGTCCACTCCGCAGGCAGTGACAGCTGCGCTGGAGGCGACCTGAGGGTGGAGCGGGAAACCCTAAGGCAAGTGAGGGCCTCGGGCCAGGCTGTGGGCCGCAAAGGATGCGGGTGGCTGCCCAGGCGGAAGGGGGAAGAGCCTTCCCTCAGAAAGAAGAGGAGATGAAAGAAGCCCGGAGCGGGGTTCTGAGGAGGACGGGATGAAAGACTCATTTGTTCCCCAAATAGTGATCAGGCGCCTGCTTTGATTCCGCCCCTGTGTCCGGCCGGGTGTGGGGCTCTGCGCCGAGAGTTTGCGCCGTGAGGGAGGCAGAGGCGAAATAACCAAGCGCGGGAAGACGGCGGCCTGAGGCACGGACAGGTGGCTGGAGGAAGGACGGCGGGTCGGGCAGGGAAAGGGAGCGAGGGCCTGGTTCACCTGCGGCTAACGGACGAGGAGCCCGGCCGGGGCCCCGGGGTGGGGCCTTGCAGCTTCTGAGCCCTGAGCCCAGGAGGCCTTGGTGCCCTGCAGAAGCGAAGGAGGCTCAGCATGGGGACATCGGAGAGAGGGACACAAGGCCACCAGAGGGGTGGGCAGGGCAGGGGCTCGATCGTACAGGGCTTATGGGTCCAGATTGAGGTATGTTTACTTTCATTTTGATTACAAATCTTTTTTTTTGTTTCGTTTTGAGACAGGGTCTCACTATATATTCCAAGCTGGCCTTTAACTCACTATACAGCCCAGGCTGGCCTCGAACTCGCTGTGTATCCTAACCTGGCCTCGAACTCACGGCAATCCTCCTGCCTTGGCCCCCCGAGTGCTGGGATCACAGGCGTGTGCCACCATGCCCGGCTTGATTAGTATCCTGTAGAGAGATCAGCAGAAAGATCATCCGGCAGCAGTGGGAAGAAGTTCTGGAAGAGTGGATCAAACAGGCTGGAGGTGACAGGGCAGAGACCCGGGCCTGTCTGGAAGGGGCGAAGTGGGATCCAGCAGCCCTGGACTAGGGTCTGGTCCACTCCGGGCGGTCTGCACTGTCCTTGGGGCTCAGTTCACGCCCTCTCCAGAGGGGATCACCCCACTCTCCTGACTGATCGCGGAGGGGAGGTGGGAAGCCGCTCCGTCCAGAGGCGGAAGTGCTTTGCTGAGAGCGCAGACCGAGCAGAAGCAGCCGTACCCGCCCGAGCCCTCCCGCCACACCGGGAGGTGAGAGGCCAGGGCAGAACACAGGGCCCGAGCGAGGCCACCAGACTGTAGGGCGCCTGGCGAGGAGCCAACACCTGGCACCAGCTCAGTGGCTTCCTGCCCGGCCACCTGTCAGCTGGCCCCAGGTCGCTGCGGTCCGCGGCGGCTCCGCCAGGGGCGATGCAGAGGCGACGCGGGCCTGGTGGGTGCGAGCGCATGGGCTCCGCGCGCTCCCTGGTGGGCACTCGGGGAAAGCGCGTGCGCTCGCGCCGCCTGCTGGGGCCCCCAGGAGCTTCCTGAAGACTTGAGCCGGAAAGGTGTGTGCGCCTCGGGGCGTGTTGGACACCACTTAGGCTTTGGAGTGGAATCGCCTGGTCCCTGTCCTAGATTTGCCTTTGTGTTTTGGGCAAATGATCTCATCCCTCTGTGTCTTCGCGTCTTCATGGGGGTCATAATAGCATCTGCTCCCGGCACATACTAAGTGCTCAATAAATGCTGCCCGCTGTTATGGTCGCATCATTTACTCATCTAAGCGCAGA